AAGAGTGAAAGAAAAGAGACATGGACACAAAAATGAGTTACATGTCTTCCACGATAACTACATTTGAAAAAAAGCACAGTGGACAACCATGTGGACATTAGGTGGAACATTGAAAGTATAGTTTTTGACGATTCAGATAGTGTAGTACTTGACTGAGACTAAAAAGTCGTGACTTGCCCATCTCTGGAAATTAGTTTGCAAAAATTCAAAGGGATCCCAACGAGATTTTTGCGCCGTATAACGTAACTCGTCGCGCTGATTCCATTGTTCACTAATTTCATCCAAATGTCACACAGTGGGTAACTAAGCGGACATTAGGCCAAAAAGTCGATTTCGAGTGTTTTAAAAAATAAATAGTCCAAAATGTAGCCCTTTAAATTCTCTATCCAATGGTGTATGAATGTCTATTGTGAAAATGTAACCCTAGATCAGAAACGAGAACACAAAAAACTCGAACATATACGACATCTATACACAAAAATAAGATTTTTCACTTTTACAGGTATGTTGTGCGATTTCAAGGCTCATATTTGGGATCTACATTTCATTAGCTATCTATGCGTATCAAAATTTTAATATTTATACACGAAATTGCGTAAGTAAACCTCATGATTTCTCCTAAACATAGTCCACTATGACAGTACCTCAGTAAAGTCGAGTTCCACATTTTTCCACACCTCTAAGATGGCATTCCAATACATCAAAATGTTCATCAGAACATACTCTACCTATGGTGAGCTCACAAAATCTCACAAAGTTTCCAAAAAGGTTTTATGAATTTTTGAAAAATCATAAAGTTTTCGAGGTATTTTGAGATTTTCTCCACTAAAACAGTACTTTTTCTCAAAAACAATACCATATTCGGAATCAGCGTAAAAAACTGCATCGAATGGTGTATAATTTTGTTTTATTCATTGTGAATCCGGGTGGAAGAGAAATAAGGGAAATATAGGGCATAGGTGAAAAAATCAATTTTTTCGACAAAAAACTTTTCTCATCGAAAACGATTTTTTCAATTTTTGGTATACTCAGGGAGTTGAGGGGAGTGATTTAAAATATTTTTCGACGAAAAAAAGTGCATGTCCGCTTGCTCTATAGAAAATTGCCCACTGTGTGTCATGTGCATGTGTGGACAATTAATTAACCTAAAAGCTTTGTTATTGCATTGAATGTCACTTCTATCCATTGTACAAGTATACCTCTACTATGAATTATGAAATCGATCCATACAAGTCTCTTGGCTGATGCACCCCTGAGCTCGAAAGTCGATAGAAAACAAGAAAAGCCTACTTTGTAGCTCGATTTTCCCGTCCGATACTGTTACAATTAATTAGAATTAATTTTCTTCTTCTTATTTCAGTAGCTTTGAGCTGATAAAGAACATTTAGGGCTTTTCTTGTAAATTGTAAAACGACATAAGTTGCTCAATCAATGATTGAGGTTTTGGCTCAGGATTTTACCATAAGTAGAGGCAACATATATCGGAAGATTCACAAAGTTTTTTCGTTCCGACTTCGTTAGAGCTTTTTGTAAAAGCGCTAAACATAGCCTTAAACGATACTTGCATAAAAGTTAAATTTGTGATGTTTATATCTTGGTCTGGGAAGTTAATTAAGAGCTCGTATTTGCAGCATAAGTAGTCGAGGTCGAATACTATCTATATGCAAGAGCATATGCAAAAATAAATTTTACATATGTGCGAACATGTACACACAGGCTGGTAGAATTTTGCTGAAACAAACACTTTTGCGTAATTATTTTTAGCTTAAAAGCTTTGTTATTGCATTGAATGTCACTTCTATCCATTGTACAAGTATACCTCTACTATGAATTATGAAATCGATCCATACAAATCTCTTGGCTGATGCATGCCTGAGCTCGAAAGTTGATACAAAATGAGAAAAGCCTACTTTGTAGCTCGATTTTCCCGTCCGATAGTGTTCCAAATGTTGAAACTATAATGCCGCCATAATCTATAGACCCTTAATATGTCATGATGGTGGTTCAGAAAATTCTAATCAAAATGAGACGTCTTTCAGCTCTACACGCTCTTTGCAACATTACAAGAAGTCAAGGTCTTGAACGTCTTGTAATTTCGAAGCTGATGTTCTTGATTGACTTGCTACGATCGCGAGATTTGTCGTCTTTATACAGGTAAGCAGTCGTTTCATTCTCCGCTTTTTCTATGTCATGCATACGAATCGACTTGATGGTCGATACGTGAACTTTCGACAGACACCGTGGATACCTCATACACAGTAAGAAAAGGCCAAGGAAGAATTTCTTTGCAGTGTGGTCACATATTAGAATTCTTTCTCAGTTCAAGAGAAGGCGACGACAAATATTGCCTTCATGGATGTATCGGGGAAAAACCCACAGAAACACGATACACGTCAGAAACAAACTGAGAACGACAACAGCTGGCGTGTATCAAATGATATAGGAGGTTTGGGTACCACGTAGTGGCGCATGTGAATATACCAATGAAAAGAATAGACTCGTGTTTCAGTCTCCTCTCAACCGAATATGAGCGAGAGCAATTATCTAAAGTCCAGTTACAAAAGAAACATATGCCTGGTCTGATTCTATCTCGTGCTATCTTACTCTAGCTTCTGTCTGTAGCGATTATTGATCGTTCAACTTCTGCGCTATAATCCTACCACGAATATTGTGATCCTTTCTCTGTGCGCATATGTGCCTTTCAGAATGAAGCGAAGACAATTTTGGAATCGCAAACGTCAAAACAGTCACCGTGCTGGAAAACGTAGCCAAGAAGCTCATCAGGATGGCCTAAAAGTCACTTTACCGAGAAACGATTAAGTATCTCCACTAATTGTCATACCCGAAGAGCTGATTTTTTTACCAATTATAGAGGGACATTCACACTTTAAACTGAAACCAAAACAGTTCGGGTCAATCTTTGTTAAGTACTACTATTGACCTTAACCCTTTACCCCCGGTTGTCCACGCCAGTGGAAATCAGAAAAACATTTGCGAAAAATTAGGAAAGGATCTGATCGAGAAACTTCCAGAACACTTTTTGTAGCAGACCTTATGGACTATCGATTGCCATCGAAAACTTTCTTTTTCACCGTGCTTACTCAGAGATACGTAACCATCACGATCAATGACGTCGAAGAAACACCATCTTGTTGAGAAAGTCATTTGCTGCTTTTTAAGCAGTGAAGGTTTTCGCTTCTTGGCGTGTGATATATTTTACCAAGGATCTCCACCAGCGATATGCATAGGACCTAGAATTTTGAGAATGGTTCAGGAGGTACAAATGTGGTGACCATATGGTGACACCGCCATGGTCACCCGCAAATTTCTACAACGGTGGTGTCGTGATTTTCAAAAATGGACGACTCAGGGTAACGAATGTCTCAATTAGGGGTGGCACATTTTCTTTACTGATGCGTTACTTTACTGAGTAAAGCAACGCTTTCAAATATCACCGTATGAGTGACGAACAACCGAAAATGTATTATTTTATCACCTTGCGGAAAATGCGACTAAAGCGTTACTATATTATGCGTTACTGGTAACGAGTAACGCATGCGTTACTGCGTTACTAGAAAATTTTTTATCATTATCATAAAGGGGCACCGCTTTCGATAAGGGCTCCTGTCCTTTGTCTTCGTCTTCCGCCACAAATTGACGGGGTTGTTTTTTCTGCTTTCTAGTAGGACGACTAGAAACTGTGGACATATTCGCTGCCGTTGTCTGCTTCTGATTCCGATCAACGCCGTTATCGTTTTGACCGTCGAATTCAGCTAGAGCGGCAAACCTATTATCGCCCAACAGCAAGTTTCCATTCGTAGCCTGAGCAGCTTGAAATCTATTTCTATTTCGACGTTGACGTCTCAAGAAACTTTTTGTCAGTGGTGGTTTCGAGGTTACCATATTATTCGGCGGCACTCTCCGTTGCTGTGTGGAGTTCTTATGATTATGACACACTGTGCTGCATATATAACACCCAAACGCTTCTTTTGCATATCTTTAATGACCGGCCTCACCTGTCTAGATATTCTGAACAACTCAGTTTGCAGAGAATTTCACGGGCTATCCAACGGCATTCTTTTGAAAAATGTATAGTTTTTCCTTAAGACAGAAAAGCCTTCAAAGTGAATATTTACGTCGACCGTTTACTTCGACTTTGCTCGCAAAACTTTCGGTATCAAATTTGTGTATCCCAAACTTTTGATGGTGATTCCAGATAGTACACTGAGAGTACTATCTGCTGCAAGTACTCCGATTTCAACGTAAGTTCATAACAACGAGATCGATCGCTCACGAAAGTGCTCCATGAAGCTCCGTTTCGTTCTTGCTGTAAGGTATGGGTTGAGAGGTATACGTAATATTTGCATGTCATTATAGGGTAGACATCAAGTACTACGTACCCTGAAAAAATCACGGTTTCATCCCCACCCATTCACGAGAAAAACGAATTTTTCCCGCCTATAACTTCTCGAACTTTACTCCAGCCGCAAAAATTTCATATCTACAGAACGAAAAGTTCGGGAAGCCTAAAAGTTTGGATTTATAGATTTTCGAACACGATCTGTTCATGAACCTCACTACTCTGTGCAGCACACCAAAAAATAAAAGAGGAGAAGGTCGTATCTACAACACACCTAATCTTCTAGAAAGAGACTGCTATAAAAGCACTAATGACACGCAAGGGAGAATTGAGTGTTTATTTGGTTCTAAAGATTGATTACCGACCGGTTTCGCTTTTATTAAAACAAAAGCTCTTCAGGGTATCTAGAACACGAATGCAAACACTTATGATAATAAAACAATATATATGTAAAAAAGGTTCAGTAAAAAACAGTAGAAAAAACAAAAAAACAACAAAAACAAAAACGAAAACACGCACAACACAAAAAAGAAACCCAAACGACACAAAAAGAGAAGCCAGGTTAGCCTTCACCGCGGTCGAGTTCGAGGTGTGCCGCGCCGCCAATTCGTCGAGATCGCTGACTCCGTCGTCCGGCGATCGGTCTAGAAGCATCCCTTCTTCCGTGGAATCGGCCGAAAAAGATTCATCGCTGACACGGTCTGGGGTCCTTGCATCGGGGGACTCGCCGGAGGAACCTTCCGATATTTCGCCTCGTGGCGAAAAACACCGGCATGGTTCGATAGCGACTGGCTCTTCGACAACATGTCGAGGGGTCGCTAACCGAACTGATGATTGCAGGTCGGGCGGTTTTTTACAACTGCCACTTCCAGTTGCAATACGCACCTCTAGCCGCTGACGTCTCCGGCGGCGTAGAGTACGCTTTGTCGTACGTTCTGGTGCACAATCGGGTAGTTGCCGCCGATGTAAGTGCTTTAGTGGCACTGAAGGTGTCGACAGGTGACTGATTGAGGGCCGAATTGTCAAATTCTGCTTGTATGCCGAATCGACGAAGGTTCGACCACTAGCAATCGGGCCGGTCGATGAATTTCGACTCAGACCTGCAAATCCTGAATGTGTCACCTAAATCGGAGTACTTGCAGCAGATAGTACTCTCAGTGTACTATCTGGAATCACCATCAAAAGTTTGGGATACACAAATTTGATACCGAAAGTTTTGCGAGCAAAGTCGAAGTAAACGGTCGACGTAAATATTCACTTTGAAGGCTTTTCTGTCTTAAGGAAAAACTATACATTTTTCAAAAGAATGCCGTTGGATAGCCCGTGAAATTCTCTGCAAACTGAGTTGTTCAGAATATCTAGACAGGTGAGGCCGGTCATTAAAGATATGCAAAAGAAGCGTTTGGGTGTTATATATGCAGCACAGTGTGTCATAATCATAAGAACTCCACACAGCAACGGAGAGTGCCGCCGAATAATATGGTAACCTCGAAACCACCACTGACAAAAAGTTTCTTGAGACGTCAACGTCGAAATAGAAATAGATTTCAAGCTGCTCAGGCTACGAATGGACAAGTACCGTAGTAAGGAAGTAACTCATCTAGTTACTTCGTTACTAGTAACGAGTAATTAAGTGCGTTACTCTACCTGGTAAAGTAACGCCGAGTAACCAGTAAAGTGCCACCCCTATGTTCAATGTCGCATAGATGATGACAAAATGAGTATTTCGGCTATTGGTGTATCATGCAATAAAAGTTTAACGACGCAACAAAATTTTTTGAATTTTTTTTCGGTTCGATTCGGTTTGGTTTCACAAAAATACGAACCGATCCCGTCACTGATGCACAATTGAAAAAAGATTATTAGTTTTGAAATAGCATTTTGTCTATCAATGAAACCAATGCTGCTGTGTCCTCTTTCTTCTGTTGAGAACACAGCTCAATGCAAGCCAACCTTACTAAATTATTGTTTAAGGTATTATGATCGGTCGGTGAATTTTTCAAATCAATTTCATGTTTTTTCTTCATATACTGTAACGCTTCATTGAATTTACCATCTTTAAATAATGCATCAGACAGATTGCTGTAAATTCTACTCAGCGACGAATGGTCTGAAGAAAGTGAAATCGATTCAATTTGAAGAGCTTTCTTCATATATTCGACTGCATTTTTGTAGTCTTTGAGATCATTGTAGACTATGGATATGTTGTTATATGTCGTTGCAATGTCTGGATGATTATGTGGAAGATTATTGAATTGAATCCCAAGAGCTTCTAGATACATATCTAATGCTTTCTGATACTCTCTTTGTTCGTAATAGCACATTCCAATATTATTAATCGTCTTTACAGCTACACTTGGCTTGAGGATTGTTGCACTTGAATATATAGCTAAGGCCTTCTTGAAATATGATAAAGCTTTATCAAAATCATTTTGTTGAAGATAGATGGTTCCAAGATTGTTATATGTCACTGCTGCTCTTGGATCTTTGGACGATGAATGTGGCAGAATGATTTCAAGTGATTTTTCATAGTGTTTGATTGCGTCTAGCTCCTTACCCATGTGTCTGTACATTAAGCCAAGATTGTTGTGTACGTTTGAGAGTGCGTTGTAGTCTTCCTTAATTTTCTGATCTCCGAGTAATGAACGATAGAACTGCGCAGCCTTACTGTGGTAACCCATCACTTCCATTAGTTGTGCCAAACTAATTAAGGGATAACAATTAATTATGTCATTCCTCATATACTCAGTTAGTGTTCTTAGCTCTTTGTCCTCTTCACCAGTTAGTTTTAGTTGTACCATCCAAATTCCTTCACCATTTTGACATATCGACAATATTCGGAAAACTGCTCCCATTGTGAAGAGAATTTCGTTTTCGTTTTCGTCAAATGCACTGTCGGCCGAAATATTTGCATATGGAAATTTGTTTACACTCTTATCAATAACAATTTCAAACAAAATGCGTTGCGAGTTAGAATCTACGCCGCTACCACCATCTTCACCCGCATAGATGCTGGCCAGATGTTTAACACAGGTTGTTGATAGAAAACTACTCACGGAAAAGAAACCTCCTTTTTTCTGTAGAATCTTTTCATCAAATTCTACATTGGCCATCAGCTGCCCCCGATAAACAATTGCCACGGTGCGATCAGATGTATCACAAAGAATAGCAATTATTTTCAATAGTTGTTGTTGTGATGCGTGTTTTTCTTTGAGTTGTGAGTGAAGGTCTTTAATGTAGTATCGTAGTGGATAAAGTGTATCAATGTCGTATTCCCTCAATGCTTTGTTTAACAGGCGATAGAGGAATGTGTCACGCGTATACCAGTAGACAGCGCTCGAAGGGATATAATAATCTTCAAATTGCTCGATATAGTTTAATTGCGATTCATCACCATCATACTTTGTACGGCAAAATTTGATCAGTTCCTCCTGAGTCGATGAAATTTCAATTAAAATACCTTGTAAGAATTGTGAATACATAAATTCAGCCTCTTGTCGCTTTGTATTATTTGTATTATCAGATGATGTCGAAAAAGGTACTTTACTAGTGGTGAAAGCCGTTTCGCTTCTAGTAAAAGAGTCGATTGTAGAAAATGAACTGATAGTAAATGCATCATGTAAAAAATCATTTCTTCTACGTCGTTGTCGTTGTGTGCTGAGCAGTTTACTTAACGTATTAGATAACAATGTTACATCCGTGTAAACTTCATGCACTTTCGTCGAGAATTGAACAGGTTCTACAATTATAGTGTTTGGATATAGAATATAGATTGAGTCAATTTGTAAAACTTCAGTCATTTGTTGTAGAAGTGTGTCAGAACAGGAAAACGGTGTGCTGCTTGAAATTATTAGTAGTACTTTACTGTCATCGATTTTCATATTCATAATATAATCGATGCATTTGTTTGAATCACGAAATGTGAGTAAATAAGGATCGATCTTGCATAAAGACTGATAAATCGCAGCCGCACTGTTAGTTTTATCATCGATATGTTCGACTATTCTATCAAGCCATACAGTAGCAATGGAATTCTCTGCCATTTTTTGTTAAGATTCTTACTTGCGTCAAGATAAAACTTCTCGCTTACTTGCCTCCGAAAGCTTTTAAAATTCATGAATAGTGTCTTTGCGAATACGATAATAATAAACTTGGTTTTTTCCAAGTAAAAACTCGATGAGTCACACTTATTGCATGTGAGACAGAACTGGAAAAAATACAAATAAGACTTTGATCAAGTTGCAAAGACTAGCGAGAAATTATTCCTTTAAAATTTTTTTTTTCATTCTTCCTTCACCATGTTAATGCATTATGACTGAAAGCAACACGAAGCAAGGGGAGAAAAAGAAGGGTGGATATATGTTTGGGGGTGTGTTCGATAAGATGATTCGAAGCTATTTTACGACGATCATTTCGACCTTGCTGAAGAGTCATCATCAGGTAAATTTAGAATGAATACATCTGCATTGGGATATTCTCTCAAAATTAAATTGAAATCTATAAGAGCCAATAAAAACTCTCCAAATAAATGAGAAGATAACAGCGGCTTGAATGAACATCTTTTTTATTTCGACGTTTCGGCTGTATGGACGAGTTCTCACACAAACAAACAGAAACACAAGCACAAGCAAGAGATGTTACACAGAGAGACGGACATCGAGGGGAGAGAGAGCAACAGAGAGACAAGCAGTTCGATGATTAGAGGGAGAGAAGGAGAGAAACACACACGTAGAAGCACACAACGAGGAACGACATGAATTTACTTGACCTGGATGAAGAGAAGCGAGTGAGAAAGGGCGATACGATCAGCCGAAACAACACATGTTTGGATGCACAACGGGATGAAATTCCGTCATAAAGGATATTTTGACATTTTTATTTAACTCCATCATCGGTTATGAAAACCAGTTATCTAAAAACTGAACAACTTTCACGTAGAATATCTTCTTGTCTCACTGCTCAATCTGAAGAAGCACCCTAAATGCGATAAATAAGTCCATTTGTAGAACTTCCGCCACGGCCTCCATTTCTCCAACAACTTTTGTATGGCTCAACCAATTATAATGGAACTTTTTCTTATTAGTAGAACTGATGGCTGTCTACCTATGATAAGAATTTCACACGGTTTGCTTTCGCCGTTCTCGAGTTACAAATCACAGAATGCGAAAATATGAAATTTCGTCAAGCTTGACTATAACTAGAGATGGGCCGTAATACGTAAACCTCGAAAGAAAGGAACGAACTATTATTCGTTATTCACTATAGCAAATGTTTCATTGATAACGAGTAAAGAATATTCGAATAATGATTATATGAATACAGGTCAGAAAAGAAAGAGAAAAAGAGCTCAAACGTACGTAACAAGCGTAACATTTGTTTCATGATCATAAAAATAGACAACCGAATAAGTAGAAAGCAAAGCGGAGAAGAAGAAAAATGAGCTGCCCAGTACGCGTTTCAGCCTTGCTCAAGGGCTGAGAGAAGAACTGTTGATTAGTAACATTGGTTAGTGGCGTATGTCACTTACCCGATCGTCATCGTCTGTAAATGTCGAAAACAAAAATAGTGGAAAGGAAAGCAGAAAGGAAAATAAAACAAGAAAAGAAAGAGATACATATCTCTTTCTTTTGTTCTCCTTCTTATTGTGTAGAAGGGCACAGTTTTCTCAGTCAGTTCGTAATAGTTGAAGCGGTCATATATATATTTCGTGGTCAAACATGAATCTAGTAAAAACTGTTCGTGAAAAATAAATAGGAAGAGGAGAAGCAGAGAAACGTCACGATTTTGACATTGGAAAGAGGACACTGGGTCAGTCTGTATTCTTTAGTCAAGTTTTTTGGTATTGAAAAGAAGATACAAGTACAATCTATGTATACTTGTATCATATATAGCACGTTTTACAAGTTTCTATAAGTAAAACTGTTGAAAAACCTTTTGCTATCTATAGCAACAGACTTGATGAGACACGTTCGCAGGGATTCTACCCAGCAGGCATCTCGGCATTCACTGAGCAGATAGTAGGGAAAGCAGGTAAGGTTAAGAAGGCTACTAACATCTCACGTTTGTCAGTCGTATACATAGAAAATGGAAATGGGGTAGTCAGTTTTGCGTGTTTCTCACAAATAAACATAAAATGTACTCGTGGGGGGAGGGGGCAGGGAAGTTGAGAGTGAGTAGAGAAGACATTCAGCATCAAGTGCTAACAATGCGTCATAGTTTATAGACATTTCGGTCTACATGCGACATGCTTTGTTAGAAAAATCATGTATTCGGTTGTCAGGTAAACCCTAGTATTGGTTATGCGGGCAATAAATTTTCCGTTTCATGATCATAAAAATAGACAACCGAATAAGTAGAAAGCAAAGCGGAGAAGAAGAAAAATGAGCTGCCCAGTACGCGTTTCAGCCTTGCTCAAGGGCTTCGTCAGCTGGGCTGAGAGAAGAACTGTTGATTAGTAACATTGGTTAGTGGCGTATGTCACTTACCCGATCGTCATCGTCTGTAAAATGTCGAAAATAAAAATA